TTCCTGGGGAAGGTACAGTTGCTGGCTTCTTTCTGAATTCCCTCCTCTCCACCCTCCCCCTCTTCTCCACCCTCGCCCGCCTCCAACAACCTGCCCTTCCTCATCCCTCCCGCACTGGGCAGGGGGTGGAGGATAGGAAAAGTTCTCACCTGACCCAGGCTATGGAAACTGAGTTTTCCTTCTCTGGGCCTGGGTGATAGTTGAGGTGGACTTTTTTGTCGTAGGGGATGGGGGCTCTTTTGCAGTTCCTCGGAGATTTTGGAGTTTTTTGATGCATTCCTCAGTCTATCCCTGGGATTGCTCACCTGCAGTGTGCCTGTTTACTCTTCCTGCAACCTCCAGGAGTGCTCGGATTCTTTCACGCTTAGGCAACCCCACCCTGACTCATCTGCCGTGGGACACTCATGCTTCCTCAGTGCCCTCCAACTCTGGGAATGCAGGCAAGTCCAACACAGAAGCAAGTCTCCCTCATTCTGGGCATCATGTCTTGGATTTCCCGAGGACTGAGCACCTGCCAGTTCACTCAGTCCCTCCCATGCAAAGCAGACGTAGCGGAGCCTTTCTCACTAGGCTCAGTGTGAGGGGCAGACACTGGGGAAGAGCAGGACTGAAAGCACCCCCACAGACCTTACCGAATCCTCCCCCCAACCCTGCACACTTTCTCAGACGGTGAGAGGTTAGGACTCCCCTTGCCGGTTCTCAAAGCCCCTCTATTCCCTCCATTCCTCAGAGTGCTCGGCCTCACAGTTCATGTCTGTATTTAATAGCCTGTATTCTGAAGCTGCAACTAAAATTTCTAATACAAATGCAATCTTTTTTTTTAATATATTTTATTGATTTTTTACAGAGAGCAAGGGAGAGAGATAGTTAGAAACATCGATGAGAGAGAAACATCGATCAGCTGCCTCCTGCACATCTCCCACTGGGGATGTGCCTGCAACCCAGGTACATGCCCTTGACTGGAATCGAACCCGGGACCCCTCAGTCCGCAGGCCGACGCTCTATCCACTGAGCCAAACCAGTTTCGGCTACAAATGCAATCTTGAGGAAAAGTAATTTATTTGGTCTAGAGAGGAGGGAATCAGTCAGATTCTAAGATTCAGAAGGAATCCCTTATCAGACGACCACAAATAGATATAACTATGTAGCTTTTATAGCGAAGTGAAGTTTAGACTAGCTGTGAAAACTTTTTGCTTGGGCCTGAGATCTCAGAGAAATTTGTCACAGAGATGTCCTGACCATTGTTTTTGTCATGATTCTTCGACATATGAAAAGCAATGTGAGATGAAAAATCATTCTTAATCATACAATGATTCATATTAATCATTCTCAGACCATGTGATCATTACACGCACGCCTTTGAAGAGAATCCTTTCAGTGTTCCAAGTCACATTTGGAGATACAACTGAAAAGGGCTGTGTGAAAATAAATTCTATATAATACTAGAGGCCTGGTGCACAAAATTTGTGCACAGGAGGGGGGGGATCATCTCCTCAGACCAGCCTGCACCCTCTCCAATCCGGGACCCCTCAGAGGATGTCCAAGATCAGGCCTAAACCGGCAGTTGGACATCCCTCTCGCAATCCAGGACCACTGGCTCCTAACCGCTTGTTTATGTAATCTGGGATCCCTCTCATAATCCGGGCCCACTGGCTCCTAACTGCTCACCTGCCTGCTTGCCTGATCACCCCTAATTGCCCCCCTGCCAGCCTGATCACCCCTAACTGCCCCCCCCCTACCAGCCTGGTCACCCCCAATTGCCCCTCCTGCTGGTCTGGTTGCCCCATGCAGCCTGCTGCTCAGTCGTTCGGTCGGCCCTCGCTAACCCCCTGTCAGCCTGGTCGCCCCACGCAGCCTGTTCAGTTGTCCATTCGGTTGTTTCGGTTGCCATGGTCACTTAGGCTTTTATATATAGATTCTGTTAAGGACACTGAGATGGGAGATAACAGAGGGGGATTTAAACTCTTGTAACTATTACAAGTCCGAATAGGTATTTTAGCTTGTCTCCAGGGCACTTCTCTGTCACTGAGGCCTCCTGGTTTGGTACTTGAGACAGAGAATGGCTAAGCAGAGGGTCTGATCTGAGCACCAGAGTTTGTCATAAAACTCATGTTTTATTGTCTCCTCATATTGTTAACAACTGCAAAGGTTTATCATCTTTGATCCTTTTCCTGTAATCTACTGAAAGAAGAGCGGTGCAAGTATGAAGGGAGACCCACCACTTTTTGGGAAACTGAGCACCTCAGATTGTTAAGCTCTGGATTGTAAGCATGTACTCCAGCATCTGAATGTTACTTCTTCTGTCCAACCTTTGCAGGCCGTTCTCTTCAGCAGCGTGCATGAGCCACACTTCACAAACCTGAGGATGTCAGGTTGACCATCAGAGTTGCGGCTGTTTTTGTAGGCGCCTGTAGCTACCAGCTCCGGCACCTCTGGGTCACGCTGGGTTACAGAAATCTTTGGTCAAGTTGGGAACCATGGGCCTCTAAACCCATGTGTACTAGTAGCCCTTCCTTTCAGGTGTCCTAGCTCCCTCCATTAGGACCTGAGAAATCTCTATTTTGGAGCTATCAGACTTCCTTCTGCTTCCCCTGAACATTCAGTCTCTTCCTTTAAATGCTCTTTTCCTCAACGGGGAGAGGCTTATTGGAAAACAAAAGTCAGTTAAGTCCAGTGAAAGCTATTTCTGCTTTCTTGCTATGCACACAACTCTTTTTAGGTAAGAAAGCGTAGAGAGGAAAACACAGGTGGAAAAAGACGATAGAGTTCAATGCATTATTCAGCCATATTCATTCATTCTAGAGGCAATTACACTTAAAATTTTAAAAACTTTGAAATTAAGAATTTATTATTTTTTTATGGCAGTTTTAGGTTCACAGCAAAATTGAGGGGAGGGTATAGAGATTTCCCACGTATTTCCTGCTCCTTCCAAATGCATAGCCTCCCCCATTATCAATTTTCTCCACCAGAGTGATATATGTTGTTACGTGATAAACCCACGTTGACATCATCATCACCCAAAGTCCACAGTTAACATTCACAATTATGCTTTATTTTTATTTAGAGAGAATGATTTTATAGAGGTATACCACATTTATTGGTATGGAAAGATATTCACAACATTCTTTTGACAGAGGTTAAAAAGCTGTCTATCTGGAGGACTCTAATGTTTAAATACAAAATATATGTGCATAATAAAGTTGAAATGCATATATACCACCATGTAACAGTGGTATCTCTGGACATCACCGGAATCCACATACTATAAAGTAACTTTTTTCAGTAACAGCATTGGGACAGACACCTGCGGTTCGTGCCTTGTTTCACCTGGTGTTGAAGGTTCCGTCATGTCCTGCACAGGAACCTAAGACCTGCACGCAGTGCAACCCACAGCCCAGCAGCGCTCATCATTTCACTTAGCGCGGTGGTTACGGGGGAAGCTACGATGAGCGCATCTTCAGATACAGTTGGATCAAGTTTCTCAAGAAAAAAGGGGAAAGGACGCCTGATGCGCATGTTTTCTGACTCTAGGCCGGGCTCAGAGGGTGACACAGTAACGCGGAGAAACTGAACTGGAAGTCACGCATCCTGTGCAGTAATTCCAAGTGGAAAACACGGGCGTGGGAAGCGGAGGGAGAGAAGCAGGTCGCCCTCCCGAGCCCCAGGTCCCACCAGCGCTCACAGGGCGAGTTCCCTTTAAGGACAAGAGGCCCCTCCTTCCACGCCAGCCCCGGGCTCGAGCAGGGCCAGGGGTCCAGGTTCCGAAAACAAAGCACCGGGCTCAGGGCCCGACCCGCAGGCGTGCGTCTGCCGTCTGGGCGGGCGGAGACTTCTCCGCGCAGGGAACCTGCGAGGTACCAATGGACGTCCAAGGCTCCACGTAAAAAAATAGTCCTGTGAATCGTTCCTGTATGAACTGTATGAGCCCATCCGGGCTCCGCGGCTCCCGGAAGCGCCCCATACCCCAAGCGCCACCCGCAGAGCGCCGCCCGAGCCTCCCTGAGG